GCAATAGGTCACTTGAGACTTTGTCTCAGGTGACCTAAAAACAGGATTATTTGTTCACCTTTATACATTTAATAAACAGTTACTCTCAAATATCTTCAATAAGATTCATCAATTTGGAAATATTTTGAGTCATAGCTTGACAAAGGGAGCAGTTGGTCTCGAAACTTTGCGACATGTTTACTATGTACATTGATTGTGTAGAAAGTAAAATTTTGATATTAGTTACTCTCAATGTTGAATATTATTCAAAATTATGGAGCTATCATTCGGTGAGAAGAACTAGGGACTCATATTCCCAAGAATGCTTTTTTGTTGTTTATCCGACATACCAGGGTTCATCTGTGGGTTCCCAACACACCAGACACACATTGCAAGTAAAGCACATAGCTCTGTCGTCTCCAATAGAATTGGGCTGATGGTAAAAGCCTGCCTGGGACATAGGATCTGGTAAAGCCCATCTGGATCATAAAAATAGTAAATATGTGAAATGACTGAATAAAAATAGAATTAACACCAAATCATTATAGTACATAGTAAATTTCAATTAAATGTACATATTCATGTTTAAACCAATGCTCAGTCATAAATCCCTTCTTACCTTTACCTTAATCTATCCCTTCATACATAAGTATGGTTTCATTATGATAAAAAGACAACCATCTGACAAGCGATTTCAACGAGACGTTTCAACCACTGTCACATATTGGACAGCAGAAAAATATGAGTATCTCCGGATAAAACAAGCAAAAATAGAGAAAAGGAAATATCCAACAAAATATTGGATATTGAGATAAGGATAAATGATTAAAATAATGTTTATGTAGTAACTCGGTACACACTTGTAGTTCATATGTGGCCATTTTTTGAATGTCTCTTGTCGAGCTGCTTCACTGTACATCATTGCCCTCTCACATGGGGCACTACTGCCCTCCAATAGCTGTGGGTTGGGCAGGAGGTACGTCAGTCTGTCACTTATAGCAGAGGCTACTGACAAACCGGGGTTGTACACCATCAGTCTCCTCATTTCTGACACAAGACTAGAACACACACTCTTCAGGACGGCATGGGGAAGCTCCACACAAACTGTTGCCCACTGCAAATGAAATTTAGAAATATTGTGTTCTTTGGTTACTGTGAAAAATAAACCTCTAAAATTGCATGAAATGTTAAAGGTAAATGCTACGAAGGCACCTTGGCCAAATAGATCAAGTTTTTTTTAACACTGACCCATGTTTCTGTAGATAAAACATGAGGTACCATAAAAATG